ATTTTATATGATAATATATAGGAGATAAGTCGGGGATATTGTAACAGTTCGTTGTATCCGTTTGTTCGCTCTATCCGTGTTCGTTATATCCATGTTCTACTGTAATGCAACTTTGATGAGGATTATGCATGTCGTTTGATGTTCTCCTTGTTATTTAGAAGTTTCTTGTCTTTTTATGCATTCAGTAGATAAGAAACAATGACAGCTTGGCGTAGAAATAAAACACTTGTTACCTTCTCATTTTTGTGTCTTGCAGCACGTGGTTGTTGTGTTTCTCCCTCTCCTGGCAACCACTATTAAATCTAAGATTGCATTTAATACTTTTTATTTCGGTTATTGCCCTAATTTACCATTGCTTTACACTGGTTAACTCGGGTTGAATCTAGTCACCCACACAGTGGACTTGAACAACACCACGTTATGTTGTTCTGTTCGATCTTTTACGCCGCAATCAGCAATATTCCAGCTACATGACGATGGTCTCTAAATCATCGCGTCTGGACCAGACAATCCAGTGACTGGTATAAAGAAAGTTCACTCGGCCCTACAGAAGCTATATCTCATCCAATGGACTTGATAACAAAGTAAGGATAAGAATTTATGGATGAACAACTTCTTTATACAATTAAGAGCGACGTTTCGGTGTAGGTTCTAACACTGTTATCAAGCAAGTGTGTTGGGATTTAGGATGGCAAAGGTGTCATCAACTTTGCGGAACCAGCAGAGGGGAGTTATAGGGGATGTTATATAACGGTGTTAGAACCTACACCGAAACGTCGCTCTTAATTGTAATAAAGAAGTTGTTCATCCATAAATTCTTATCCTTACTTAGTACTCCAACTTCAAAATACCTATCAAAGAAGACTTGATAACACCCTGAAGATCATCATGATGAAGCCAGCAAGTGGCCGACAACAGTGAACAGTATTTGTTCTCACTTTAAGAGAGGTTTCTATCTTTGATAAATCACTAAAATTATGTAATACATTAATATGTGACAATCAATATTATTACGAAATTTTATTCAGATCATGTGAAATGTAGAGGTTTATACAAAACCAACATACACACTTCATATGTATTCGATAAGCATTCTCCTAAAGGGGAATATAGCTCAACAGAGTTTGTGTAAATGAGTTAGTGAGTATGGTTTTACGCCGCTTTTAGCAATATTCCAGCAATATCACGGGGGGGGGGGGGGACACCAGCAATGGGCTTCACATATTGTACCCATGTCTGGAATGGAACCTGGGTCTTCGGCGTGAATAGCGAACGCTTTAACCACTAGGCTACCCGACCGCCCCTTGTGTAAATGAATAAACTTGAAGATCAATTAGTATTCAAAGACATCTACTTTCTCCGACAGGGATAATGATTGCTAACTCGACATAAAACATAATCTTTTAAAATGCATGAATGTAAAATGTAAAGAATAATAAACACTCGAGCAACATCAACAGTTAAATCGATTAAAAGTTCGTTTCAAACCATTGGTGTATCCCACAACCAAATATTGACATGATAAAAAAAAGAATAAATGTAACAAATGTAAAAGGTGCTACAACCTCGAAGTTTTATTGCTTCTTGTTCTTTATGAAGTTGTTATCTCCAAAACCGGAATTAGAACTGCCTTGACTGTAAGCCTGTAAACGTATCAGTGAGTGAGTGTGGTTATACGCCGCTTTCAGCAATATCATGGGGGGGTCGAACCCGGGTCTTCGGGTGACGAGCGAACGCTTTAACTACTAGACTACCCCACCGCCCCATGTAGACGTATCAACAGGTAAAGGTAATCGTGTCATTGTTTTGCACGCTGCAACACATGACATGGGGCTTATTACTGGTGATTTTCATAAGGAAATTATAGGAGGTGATGTGTTCATAGACTGGTTGGAACTTCAGGTGTTGCCCATTTTAAACAACGTCAGTGTGATTGTCATGTATAACGCCAGTTAATATAACGTCCGGGAATCAGATACTGTCGCCCAAACCATGAGTAGTCTAAAGGAGACCATACAGGAATATATGACATTGGTCGACTTCAGACCATATGTAACGAAAGTTCAACCCATGGAGAAAATTCGGCTGAATAAGAAACCAGTAAAGTACAAGACATATGTGCAGGCGGCACAACACGGTTACGTTGTCTTACGTACGGCAGTCAGACATTGTGAGCTCAACCCTGTTGTGTCTATCTTGGCTAAATGTACAGGGTTCGTGGCAAGACATAATACAACATTCAAAAGTACAGATTCATATACGCCATCAGCGGAGATAAATGCTACCTCAAGAAACCATCTGTAGAATACTCATCCAGTTTCATAGCTCTTAACTACTCATGTTTCAAAGCAAATATAATGCAGTACATATCCTAAATTGCTCCCTCATCCACGCATGTCAATTAAGTACAATAACAGCAATATTTTGAGACCACCCCCAACTCGGTGACATTTGCACCTGGGAGAATGCACGGAACGGTGTGAGGTCATCACCTCGGGACAGGTGTAAGGTAATTACCTCAGGTTATAGGTCATTTCATACATGCATGACAACAGACGAATATTTTCTAAGTTTATCATCATTTTACCTGTAAAAGTACATTTTAAGGGTAATCACAGTGTCAGTTAGGAAAGGCTAGATTAGGGCAATCCGCCTTATTTTGATATATGCTCTTTTTATAATCCTATGACTCGTATTTATTAAATGAAGCCAGAAAAGCAGTTTTCTAACATTTCCGACAGTACTTTAGGAATTAATCTCCTTCACAATCCTACAAAACAAAGTTGGGCAAAGGGGTAAACATCCATATATAACAGATTAGGGCTGCAACGATACAGGAAGGTCACGATACGATACGCATCTCGATATTCTGCTCACGATACCATACGTATCTCGATACGCAATGATAAAAAACCAAACAAGACTTAAAGCATGTAAAGATTGAACCTTTCATGATTTTGGAACAGTCACAATTATTTTATAATAACAAGACTACTGAAGTTGTTCAACTTTCCTTCAAAACAATTCAAAGTTCAAAAACCAGAAAATAATTAATGTACTCTACCAGTGATACAACTTCAAAGAATAATGATGCAATGGTCGAAGAAATTGTATCTGAAATTATTGTTTTATCAGGAATAATTTATTCCAATATCGTGTTACCTTAGTTGCAGCTTTGACTATATAATTATATATTTATAATTATAAGAACCACAAGTGTAGCATTTTGGTACTGGTGATTGCTGTTGCAGGATATTTTTACGTATGGAACAATTTGACCAGTCAACCTAGGGACTTCCCGTGCTACATGTATTTCGATTGCGATAACATTATGTTGACATATATTAGCCAAATTGCCACAAATATATCTTTTAACGAGTCAAAGTATGGCATTTTTAATATATGTATCCATTCTCTAGCAACTAAAGTTCGTTTCAATGCGTCAAAAGCGGTAATCTGACCGTGGTTGCTGTATATCTTCACACACGATTTCACATAACTTAATGAAAACAATATTAAATGAAATTTTGAATAAAATTAATAGAATATATTACAAACACAAGTCCAGATATACAATGAACACGTTTTAATAACAAGATAGTATAATAATGGTATTGAATTGCGTACTTCAGTTCGTATTTTCGGTGTTATATATGTGCTTGCGGTGATCAGCTGATAATGTTTTATGAGATGGGGAAAAACATCTGTCGGTGTAAAACCTGAGCTTATTAAAAATGTAAGTACGTTTTTAGGAGCCATGCGTCAGCGCGCGCTATAACCAAGTTAGCGGTTTATTGAAAGGCACAATACCGAGGAAACGCTGTACTTGAGATTTGCGTTCCGTATCGTGGCGTATCGATAAATGGGCCCACGTTTATCGTATATCGTATCGTGGGTCAAGTATCGCGATGCATCGGAATATCGGTGTATCGTTTCACCCTTATAACAGATGATAAACAAATACGTTATGTGTTACATTATTTGCCATTTAGAAATTACATACGGTGTATAAAGGAATGGTATGGATGGCATTGTTAATGAGCACTAGCACATGGTACTGGCCTGGGGCCTACATACGTGGCAATAGCAATATTAGTATTATCGAATGTAGATACGTGAATAACTTTGCCTCTCGCGGTGGATAAAAAAAACCATGCATCTCGTGCTCACAAAACAAATCGATAAAAACCTCGGTATGATTCAAGCAATGGTAAGGCATATTGGAAATACATCCTCTATATCTCCAGGGCTCGCCTTTCGGTAAACCTACACTCGACCCTGGCTCCATTCCCGTGGTTCTCGCGATCTCAAATTACCTGCCCTTGATTTTCATTCACCAAGTTGATTTTCTAAGCTACTCAATCTAACTGACCAATGGGAATGCGCGTTACAAACCAGTATCAATGTTGGATTGGCGATATCAACAGCATGGGGACAAGTCCCATTGGTTAGGATAGAGCTTGCCATAAATTAAACATTGAAAACTGACTCAAAAATTTGTTTGATGGAGAGGACGTCATCGAGTCCTTTAAAACTGGCGGTGGCAAGTCCCATCTTCTTTTTCTTCATCTCGACGTTTGATAGGTCAATTCAAGTTAAACTGCCGCATGGTTTAGCTAGCTCCCCAAAAATAAATCGGCATAAGTCCGGACTAGTCCAAGCAGCCAGCCACACACAAACACACGCACACACACACACACACACACACACACACACACACGCACACGCACACACACACACACACACACACACACACACACAGGTGCATGCACCAAGTGCAATAGTCTTGCACGCGACGCTAAACCTTACCTCACCTCGTACAGATATGGGGCGAATTGTCTGATATTTTCCCACAAACAGCCCCGAAAAGATATAACTAACATACCTGTTTCTACTTGAATTTCGAAATCAACATATTTTATAACATCAAGTAAATCAGTGAGAAAAGTGATAAATGCATTTCACTCTGAAAAAAAGGTTTCACGATGTAAACTAATGAGTCTATTCGAACTTAGGATGTTTATTGCGTGATGACTTTCACACAGAGTTGAAATCAGGTCGATACTCCGGATACAGGAAAGCGTACTTCCAAACCACACGATACGTTAATTTCATTTCGTATGAATTCTTTTATAACGGGACATGCTTGTGTTATTGAATACATTTGTGAGCCATAAATGATCTTGGTGTCACATTTAGTATCATTAACAAGATTCCTGCATCTCAGTTTCGGAGGAAACACACCATGTGGGATATATGTGAGTCAGTGAGTATGGTTTTAACGCCGCTTGTAGCATCATTCCGGGAATATCACGGCGGGGGACACCAGAAATGGGCTTCACACATAGTACCCATGTGGGGAATCGAACCTGGGTCTTCGGCATGACAAGCGGAAGCAATGTTCGGGAGGCACTTGACCGCAATTACGTCGTGTTTGTCTGTGAAAGAATATCTGACCATTCATACAGACGTCGTGGCGTCGACAGCATCGGTCCGCGGGAATATGTGCGGATTTCTTATAACGTCCGAGTAGGCCGGCGGTGGGGCATCTAGGGCAACATCTGGAACATATGTAGGGGGCGCTGTTGGGGCCATTGGTGTGATAAGCCCTGGCTCGGTGTCCAGTTCATGGATGGAGGGTATACTGGATCGTGGCGGGACCATGTACGCATCTTGTGAAGTGGCTCCTGCCAAGGCCCTGCTTCTGTTGAGATTGATCCAATATTCGTTGAAACCCTTGTCTCTAACTGGAACCAAACGACACTCGTATCACATTTTAAGATTGTAATGCATCCAGCATAGAATCCGTTATTCACATCAAAATGTCATTAATATCATCATAACCCTGTGTCTAACCATGGACCCACATTTGTAGGTCCGTGGTTTAACCATCTTCCCGACGCAAGAGAGTTAACTGACTATAAAAGTCCAGTTTCCACCCTTGCCGAACTAGGCTGGTATTATGGAGTTACATTTTGGCTGGACTAACGAGTCTATGCATAGTCCAATCAAAATCGAGTTCGTAAACTGTCATGCAGATTTCGGTTGATTGCAGGATTTGCAAAACATGTGCACCGCTAACTCGTTGTCAACAGATATTTTCTAAATCTTTTCATGTGTTTAATCAAGGTGCTCACTTGATTTGATGCACTTCGCGATGTAAGACTCGTTTTATCACAATATATAGATCTTGATTATCGATCAGATCGTCTGACTGGGCGCCGCAGTTTTGTTTGAAGCAAATTTAATGCAAGTGATACGAGAGGTGGAATCTGATTGGTCCATGGAAGAGGCATAGAAGGGACATAACTCGTAATAGCCACTGGTGGCGCAACGATCGAGCCCAGTAATTCCAGCCTAGTTCGGCAAGGGTGAAACTGGACTTTAAAGTCAGTTAACTCTCTTGCCTCGGGAAGATGTGGTTGAACTTGAGCCAGTGTTTGTTTTGTTTGTTTGATGTGTAACGCCGCACTCAACAATATTTCAGCGTCCTGTAAATATTGATATTGTGACACGATCCACGCCGTCGGGGTACGCTGAGACCCAATCAAGCAAGTCACCGGGCCTCAACCACCCAATCCATCAAGTCGCCTTGTACGACAAACAGTGGTTGCTTGTGACCTACTCTAACCCGGAATCCCCGTGAGGTGAACGTGTGTCTGTGTGTTTGTGTATCTGTGAGTTCAGTGCATACATAATTCAACAACAGGAGCCGATCTCAATTACAGCAGCAGTTGCATAATATTGTGATGTGATTCCCGACATGGGTACAATGTGTGAAGCCAATTTCTGGTGTTACCCCCAGTGATATTGCTGGAATATTGCTAAAAGCGGCGTAAAACAACACTCACTCACGGTATTAATTATACGTGTCTTAGGAGAGAGAGAGAGAGAGATAGACAGAGAGAGACTAATAAAGGGGGGTAACTCTAACCTTTGCATCTGCAACACTTGTAGCAGTAGATCTCCTGTCCATTGATACTGAGGACACACTTCACACAGCAGTACAAGATGACAGCGATAATAGCCAGTAACACCAAGGCACCCGCTGTCAAGCCTAGTCCGAGCTGAAGAGCAAATCTGAAAAACAAAGAGGACAAGAAGCATTAATATATTTTCGTATCTGTAATGAGTTGGTAAGTATGATTTTACGACGCTTCTGACAATATTTCCGCCCAATCACGACGAGGTGGACGAGAATGGGCTTCACATATTGTACAGACGTTGGGAAACAAACAAAAACAGAAAATAAGTCAGAAAAAGGTATTTGATAATAGATTTCAAATGTATTCAAAACTTTGCAATATATTCATAAAGGTAAATTTCGATCTGTCTACATGTACTCTGTTTATTACTAAAAACACGATGATATATGTAATAACCTTGCCTGTGTTTTCTGCATATATATTCCTACTTGGGCCAGGCACTACCCTAGGTGTAAGGTCTTATCTGTAACAGGCACTCAGAAGTAAAATGTCCATTACATGAAAGAATTCCAGTTTTCTAAAACGATTCGGCTTCATTTCCTTACTTCCTTGAAAACCCATACGGAACACGAATATTCCCTCAATGTTATTCCGTTGTAGGTGTAGATGCCATGGCGCTCAGAAACGAAAGAGTATTTAAAGTTGTCACAATATAATTGCGCGGCCTCTGTTCACAATCGGAACTGCTTGTAAAAGCATTTTTTTTCGAGATACAAAAATAAACAAGTACAGTAAACTACGGTTATAACGAACACGCTTATAACGAACTGACGGATATAACGAACTTACTTTTTGGTCCCGACTGTTTGCTGTAGTTATGCTGTATATATGCTTATAACGAACTACGGTTATAACGAACTAAAATTAGTAGTCCCTTTGAGTTCGTTATAACCGTACTTTACTGTATACTCAAACGGGCCTCCAAGGGAGGGGTTGTTGATCTCCCTGCAGTAAGGTATTGTTTGGAAGTAACAGACAGAACACTCACTTGTCAAGACCACAGCAGTACTGCTTATCGGCGTCCCCGCAGCATCCTCCTTCCGCGGCACAGTCGAACCGGGAGGTTGAGGTCCAGCCTGAGCTGTATTTTTCCGCCTTGCAGCAGTACTTGGCATACGTCTCTGAAAGACAGTCACGGACGGGTACTGGTAGCAGTAGATGTTTCGTCTTACAGGCTAATCTGGGGATTACGTGTTTGAAGCGGTCCAGAGTAACCTATGCTGGTCGTAAGTTGCGACTTAAAGAGTCGAGGTTGCAGGTTCGGTGACTTGAACGATTGCCTGTCGCCATCATATTACTCAGTACTGCGTTTAATATCCTAACAAAATCTACATAAAGAAATTTGGAAATTTCGAAATCGAATTCAACGAACAGTCTTGTATCTTCCTAGGTTTGCTAGAAACGTAATTAGCCCTGTGAATAGCCAAGCACTGCTGTAACAAAGTCGGACTTTTAACCAAAACCGTTTCGTATCTGCCTAAGCTACGATTGTAATCGTTCTGAACAGGTTATAAGAGCACTAATGCAAAGTGAATGCTGCGCAATATAAACGCATATATTATTAATATTATTATTATTATCATTATTATTTACGTTTCTAGGCATGTGAAGTCAAATTCGGTAAACAGTCGGCTATACTAAAAACAATAGATTTGTTATAGACGTTGAACATGTGAACGAACATCTGCCATAACGAAGTCGAATTTTGTATCTGGCTGTGATAATACGTACTAGGCTGTGTGTGATACAAGTGATATTGTGGACCTAACACTGACACACTACGGTACAGTATACGTACCTTCTGGTATATCAACTGGCCTCCCGTTGTTTATATAGGGGCTGTCACACGCGGCGCCACCATGGCTCTCTATAAATAACGCTGAGTTACATTTCAGTGTTTCACAAAAGTACATACATCTATGTATATGGGATAATATAGCACAGGGTTCAATATTACTCTTGCACCGTTTCCTAAACATGGCTATGTAGTCATAATCAACATGAAAAGAATGACATTAAGAATATAATTACACCACTGGCACATGGTTTGACATAATCCTTGTTATTTTAGTTATATATGTAGTCACCTCCTCCTCCTGAGACAGAACACGGTTTGAAAAATTGGTCAAATACTCGCTGTCCCAGGCGGGTCATTTAATACTTTTGAGTCTGCAGTAGCTCAGTAAAATCTGGATGTTGACGATACACCAGGCACAGATATCGGTGAAACAGCGACCTACCTGCTACATAGTGTACAAGCAGCAGGGATACAACAGGGACAGTCGATGGACTGCGTAGATAGTCCATACACATCCGCTTGTTGATTATCGTGTAACTGAGGCGGTGTCTCGGGTAATAGTTCCCCGTGAAATATGCGACAAAAAGTTCAAATGATTTTCAACTGAACTATAACTAGTACTTTGGGGGTTGAGTCCCATCCGGGATTGGAACCCACACTGCTAGAGTGAGGCAGCTAATCGCCAGTACACAAAGTCAGCGATCTAACCCACTCAGCCACCGAGGCTTCCACGAAAGTCCGACAACTGATAGTCTAGATCACATACGTTGTGTACCCCTCTGTTTAGAATTTAATTTAAAACTTATCTAAAGATGTTTAGAATTCAAACATGCAATTATTGGGCATTTAGTCAAATTTTAATATGGATAAGATGTATAATATATAACACACGTACAACCAGAACTTACAACGATCTTGGACAACATGAACATAATTATGTTGAAATAAACCAAGCTTAGAAAATGGTAACTAGAAAGAGTTACATTTGAACTAAACACACGCACAGAGAGAGATAAAGAGAGAGCGAGAGAGATAAAGAGAGAGCGAGAGAGAGAGAGAGAGAGAGAGAGAGAGAGAGAGAGAGAGACTCTACATGACACTATATATAGGTAAATGTATTCATGTAACATATCTAACTGTATGTGTTATCGCCCCTGTGATTCCCGACATGGGTACAATGTGTGAAGCCCATTTCTGGTGTTACCCGCAGTGATATTGCTGGAATATTGCTAAAAGCGGCGTAAAACAACACTCACTCATGGTATTAATTATACGTGGCTTAGGGTAGAGAGAGAGAGAGAGAGAGAGAGAGAGAGAGAGAGAGAGAGAGCGATAGAGATAAAGAGAGAGAGAGAGAGAGAGAGAGAGAGAGAGAGAGAGAGAGACTCTTCATGACACTATATATAGGTAAATGTATTCATGTAACATATCTAACTGTATAGAGTTATCGCCCCTTTTTGACTGCTATTTTGAGAAACGTTTCTTTTTACTATTTTCGTAATAACTTCCAGGTTCCTGATAGTAAAAAGCGATTTCCAGTGTATGACAAGCACTTTTTCGTTGTATCTCCGGATTTTTTTATAGAAAAAAATTTTCCTTGTGAAAGTTAACTTGAATAAGAAATGAATAATCTTATTTGTCCCCCCGTGTCAAAAAAAAGTTAACTACGGCCTTGGTCTAAGTCCTTAATTAATCCTTTCTGGTTCTCCCATTCTGTCATACAGACCCTGAAAAAATATATACAATACAGCCCATGTAAGTCTATAATGTTTGGCTAGTCTAGATTACTGCAGCATTTGAAAAGGAAGAAAGTCTCTTGGGTCTTTTTTATTATATTTTATAACTATAACTTAACAAAATAAATTCTGTAAAATATGTTAATTCGAGAGATTAGATGTTAGTCCAGGATTCTCCGTCCACATTAAGAAGACACTTCCTGATAAATGTCAACTTGATACTTATAAAATCGGAGTAATTCAATTCACATAAGGGTTTTACAAGTTCTCTGTGCTACAAGCCGCCCGCCTTAAGTGACAGCGCTGACTCAGAACAGGATGGAACTGATGCGATTTTGTAAGAATTGTAAATAGAACCTTTCATAATGTCCCTGTTGAAATATGACTTCCATTGTGACTTAACAAACAACTCCATGTAGTTCAAGTAAATATTTTTTTATCAACATAGTCAATGATACATACGTTTCATTCAATATACTTTGAACTTTTAACATGAACAAACAATATAGCCAATGAAGCTGGAGCCAGGCTATGCGGCGTGCACTGTGGCCTTGTGTAGCAAGAACAGCCTGTTGAGGCTAGTCTGCAGACAGGCTATACAGATACATCTTCCCGAGGCAAGGGAGTTACCTGACTATACGTCCAGTTTTCACCTTGCCGAACTAGGCTGAAATTATGCAGTTATGTTTGGCTGGGCTAACGAGTCAAATCAAAATCACGTAACGAAATCGACATCCAATTCGTAAACTGCCGTGCAGATTTCGGTCGATTGCAAGATATGTATAGTATGTGTACGGTCAGCTCGGCGTCAACAAATATTTTCCAAATCTTTTCATGTCTTTAATCAAGGTGCTGACGCGATTTGATGCACTTCGAGAGGTAAGACCCGTCTTATCACAATATAGATCTTGATTATCGGTCAGATCGTCTTGACTGGGCGCCGCCATTTTGCTTGAAGCAAATGCAAGTGATATGAAAGGTGGAATCTGACATAGAAGATACATCACTCGTAATTGCCACTGGTGGCGCTACGATCGAGACCATAAATTCCAGTCTAGTTTGACAAGGGTGGAAACAGAACTATTATAGTCAGTTGCCTCCCTTGCATAGGGAAGATGACGCAGATGTGACTGCTTGGATCACATTAGTACCGTAATGTCTGTACAAACGAAGTTTGTTTGTTGTTTAACGACACTCGCAACATTCCAGCTGTATGACGCCGTCTGTATATTATCATTCTGGACCAGACAATCCAGTGATTGATATCATGAGCATCGATACTTTGGATATATTTTATAGAATATCTGGCCTTAAGGTAAATATTGACAAAACTTAACCTACATGGATAGGTTCAATGGCAGGAAGCAGCATCAAACTATGTAAGGACACAACATTAGACAGGCATGAGGGAAACTTTGAAGTCTTGGGATTATATCTAATCCCAAATTACATGATCTATGGGTAATACATTCAAGAAAAGACTCCAACATGTTAATACATTACTGGGAAGCTGGAAAAAAAAGACATCTAAAATTAAAAGGTAAAATCATAATTATTAAGACTCTAGCTCTATCAAAATTACTTCATATATTTTCAGCACTTCCAAACCCACCCAATGATTTTAATGGAAACTTGAATAAACTATTTCATACTTTCATTTGGAATAACAAACCAGACAAAATAAAAATATCTACTTTGGTGAGAAAATATAAGAGGTTGGCCTGAGAAAGATTGATACCTGAATATTTATTGATTCATTGAAAAAGATGTTTACAAAAAACCCGACTTCGTCAACAATTAAAAAAACTGTCAGTCAAAACATATATTCCTTTTGGGTGCAAATATTTATAAGTTTATTACTTTGAAAAATAAATCCCTTTTGGAGGGATATATTGAATATTTGGGGTAATTATTACACAAGACATAAAGTTGAGAAACAATGTATTGTAGAGATTTTATCAGAGCCAAAATGGTTCAATCACCAACTTAAATATAATTTCATTTTAAAACATTGGTTTGATAAGAGTTTTTATAGTTTAATAGATTTATGTAGCAACAGATTTTTAACATTTGAAAAATTGCAAGACCAATTTAAAATTAAATACATTACTTGATTACAACAGATTAATGCCAAATATCCCTTAAACGTGGGAAAAAAAAAGAAATGGCAGAGTTTATATCACAGCTAATTTAAACACAAATAACATTTTGAGAGACTTGTTGATAAGAACAAAGGGCTCCAGAATATTTTATGATAAACCCATAGCTACAACTAACTTTCCTCTGATGCGTGAAATTAATCAAAGCATATTATGGAATAATGTTTTTACAACTGTAAAATGTGTACCAATAGATGTACAGTACAGATTCATAAATAGAGCTCTCTCTCTCTATAAGGAATGATTGAGAATGAAGTTAATTGATGATGATATAAGCTCTTTTTGTATCTCTGAATCTGAAAATTTATGCCATGTATATGTAGAAGGTGCTTTTGTAAAGGAATTTTGGTTAGAAATTGAACTGTACCTAAACTCGAAACTTGCTTATGATATTCATATTACCAGTCAAGATAAATTATTTTGCTACAACAAAAAGAACTCTCTTTTTAACCATATAATTCTTCTTGCAAAAATACATTCACCAGTCAAATATTAAGAAAACTCTCCTTTCTTCATAAAAAAATTGAAAGATGTATGTAAAATAGAAAAGAAAATATTACAATGAAAAATAGTAGTATTAATACATTTGACAGAAAATGGAAAGAATTATCAACTTACTTATTATAATATATCAGTTAATCCAATATATGTTTATTACCGCTATCTTGGTCTTGTGTTAAGATCCTATGAAGCGCTACACTTATATACCTCATGTACCTATGTTACAGATATATGTCTACTGATTTCAAATAAAAATATTTTTTTTAAAAAGGACATCATGAGCATCCATCTACGCTATTAGGATACGAGCCTGACCACCCGATCCCGTTAATCGCCTCTTAGGACAAGCACGGGTTGCTGAAAACCAATTCTAACCCGAATCTTTACGGGGATAACACAAAGTTTGCACTTCTAACTCATGTCTAAACTAAGGGCTCGTGTCTTTTCTCACAATCACACTATCAGTGAAGCACATTCAAACCTGGGAATTATATTATTGTTGGCTGACGTGATAATGAACCTGTGTGTTAATTTGCTATTATCAAGTTGCAAGGCAAATTACAATGTAGTGCCACGTCGTGAAGCACTGAAAACAGCAGCTTGAAAATAGACGTGGGCAAAACTGGATATTGGAGGTAGATCGTTTGTTTATTTGTTTGTTGTTTGACACCGCGCTCACCAATATTCCAGCAGTGTTCCGGCAAGTAAATAATGGAGTCTTAACTAGACAATCCAGTGATTGACGTTTGACATGGTTGTCATTTTGATACATTCGGCTACCGGAAAGCTTCTGGATCATTCGTGACCAACTCGTGTCATTCCGGGACAAGCCTAATTGGCTTGCAGGTTACGGAAAGGAGCGAGTGTTGACGAATACTTCTGGATTACCCACGACTTCCGTGTAAGATGGCGGACTGTCATCTTCAATGGCTGGACGGTTCTGAAATTGAGGCGCCACGGTCGTCCTGAAGACGCACGGATCAGGGTAGGGCTGGTTGCGTGGTTCATACACTTCTGTATCGAATGTTGACTCAACGGTGCTTAAGTTGACTTGGATACTGCTGAACGGCCTGACAGGTTGCGTTGCGTCTCGAACTATAGTGTCGGAAATAATGTACAATTTGTATAAAGATGCGTAGTCACTTCTATTCCTGAGCGTTTCATGCCGTCACGGCAATGCTTATTCTCACTTGCCTGCACCTCCAACTGCCTTTTACTGTTTCCCAAATAGTGACGAAAGAGAGTGAGTGAGTTGGGTTTAACGCCGCTTTTAACAGTATTCCAGTTATATCACGGTGTGTCAGCTTAATGTGGGGGAAAGACGGAAGAGATGCAGGTCTCAGGCGTTTACCATTTCGGTGAAACCCACGAGCACGGGTATGGTACTGACAAATCTAGAAACATAATCGGGGCGAACCGAGGATCGAACCCACAATCATAGGTTTCTGCCGTGCCCAAGGGACGCAACTCTGCACAGCGAATCATCTATGTTGGGAGTAACGTACAGTGAAGGACCAGACATTTGATTCTTCGGGGGAGGGGGAAGCCTTAGAGGATGGGAGGAATTGTCTCAGAAGATACTTGTCTGATGACAAAAAATAGATTGCCCCCACCCCTCCCCCGAATATCAAATAGACGGACCCAAACGTCATATAACTTTTGTCATCATTGACCAAAATATCTTCCAATTTATTTACATCAAGAAACCAAGCTACTCGCTAAACTCTTCACCATCGCCAAAGCCCCGTCAGATCCAAACGCTGGTTAAACCCTCGCCATAGCATACCCTCTTCACATAACACCTCCATTACACTCCTGCCACATCACACCCTTGCCACACTACACAAGTGCCTCACCAATCCACACCCTCACCATATCCCACTCTCGCCACATCACACCTATATCACACCCTTGCCACACTACACACGTGTCCCACCAATGCCTCGCCATACCACACCAGCCCCTCACCAATCCACACCCTCACCATATCACACTCTCGCCACATCACACCTATATCACACCCTTGCCACACTACACACGTGTCCCACCAATGCCTCGCCATACCACACCAGCCCCTCACCAATCCACACCCTCACCATATCACACTCTCGCCACATCACACCTATATCACACCCTTGCCACACTACACACGTGTCCCACCAATGCCTCGCCATACCACACCAGCCCCTCACCAATCCACACCCTCACCATATCCCACTCTCGCCACATCACACCTATATCACACCCTTGCCACACTACACACGTGTTCCACCAATGCCTCGCCATACCACACCAGCCCCTCACCATATCCCACTCTCGCCACATCACACCTATATCACACCCTTGCCACACTACACACGTGTCCCACCAATGCCTCGCCATACCACACCAGCCCCTCACCAATCCACACCCTCACCATATCACACTCTCGACACACTACTGTTAAACTTTCGCCACACCACACCTACGCTCGCAACACCTCACCTACATTACACCCTATGCACACCCTACACTCACCAGCATCACAATTTGCCCATGCATCACTGTATCAGTCCATTATTGAGTTTATTCTACGGACCTTTACACCTGCAGCGTCCGGCACAGTAGATCTCCTGGCCCATCTTGTGGTAGTGGATATTCATGTAGCAGTAGACTGTGACAGCAATGATGACGAGTAGGACGAGGACAAAGACAGTGAGGCCGACTCCGAGACCCACAGCCAGACTGGAACTAACGAAAACAACTCCCATCAGGATTATGAGGAACACTTGCAGAGCCATTTGCAGAATAATCAAACATCAGATCCAGCACCTACGCAGACAAAAGGCCCACCCACACACACAGATTGAGACAGCAAGCTCACACCTGAAGATGTCCCTCACTCAAACTCACTCATAATAAAGAAGATAACATCCATAAATTCTCTTCCTTATGTGTATCACTTCTAAATATCTTTCAAAGACTTAATTATGTCGGACGCTAATATAATTAGTTCCCGAGGTATAAGTACACTGCACACCGTGTAAACTTGGACGCGTGGAGAAAGGCGGTTTGCTGACCAACCTAGAAATATAATTATGGCGAATCTGGAATTTGAACCCATGCTATACCAAGTCAGCGGACCTGGCCACCCGATCTTTTTAGTCGCCTCTTACAACAAGGAATAGATCAGTGTTCTAACCCGAAATTCTCAGTTGTTGACCTGGGTGGCTCAGGAATAACTAGGAATCTAGAACAGATTCATCATGTTGTTCAATCTGACACCAACAGCTCTTACCTACCACCTCACATCACACAAACGGATCAGCGTCTAATGAGAACAATACGGTCACTATGTACATTATTTGCAAAGCAACGCGCTGGTAGGAAATCCTGGAAAACTGTTACATGTATTCGGTGGGGGTGGGGTATGGGTGTTGTGGGGTGGAAATACGATACAGTCCTAAGACAAAATGCCACCCATCCCCCACCTCCCAGAAAATGACCAGCCCCTAAAGAGCGTAACATATCCATCATTGCAGGCTCACTGGGGTACGTTACAGCAGTACTGCGAACCGTAGTCTCCACAACATCCACCGTCATCCTCGCAGGAGAAACGTCGGACTGTAGTACGCCCTTTAAAACTGGTTTCCTTACAACACGGTCTCGTCAGCTGGTGATCTGTTACACGGAAACAAGGCATCCCATTACACGATCAAATAACTGATCAATACCAGGTATTTTCAAAGACATTGATTGGTAATTACCATTTGAATAAACTTATAGAACTTTGCAGATACAATAACTTATTTAAGATAAATGGAAGAATTGGCGAAGATAAAAATATGGACAAAACACTTGTTAAGTGTTAGTTTAATTCATTTTTTTGTATCATCTATAGATAAACTCAAACTTATTACTACTTTTTCTGTACTTCTTATCCGATGCTCATTTGAAAAGTTTGTTTGTTTAACGCCGCACTCAGCAATTACAGCTATATGCCGGCGGTATGTTAATAATAGTCTGGACCAGACAATCGAGTGATGGACATCATGAGCATCGATCCACGCAATTGGGATACGATGACATGCATCAACCAAGTCAGTGAGCCTGACCACCCGAGCCCGTTAGTCGCCTCCTGCAACAAGCATAGTCGCCTTATACGGCAAGCATGGGTTGCTGAAGACCTATTCATCCCCGGATCTTCACGGGTCCTTTCTCCATGTAGTTATGACTTTATAGGCCTATTCTCGAGCCTGATAATGTATGATTTGGCCATGCTTACCTAGCTTTGACATGTTTTTTTGTTTGTAATTAACTTTTTTTCAAACGACTCTTAGAGATATCCGTTATCGACTTTTCACTCCGACCTCTTAATTGTCTTATGAGCAACACGTGTGTCAACAGGTGGGTAGTCAATTTCATCATCATTGCCTGCGCGTGGACAATATGCGTACACTCTACCTACCTGTAACACACCAAGTATGTCCACCGCCTACTTGTCTCAAACGCATTCGGGGGCACGGGTGGCACAGTCGTCTAAGGCGCCGCGATTCGCTGTGCAGAGTTGCGTCCCTTGGACATGCCAGAAACCTATGATTGTGGGTTCGAATCCCGGTTCGGCCCGATTATGTTTCTAGGTTTGTCAGCACCATACCCGTGCTCTTGGGTTTCACTGAAGTGGTAAACGTCTGAGAATTGCATCACTTCTGGCTTTCCTCTCACATTACGCTGACACGCCGTGATATAACTGGAATACTGTTAAAAGCGGCGTTAAACCTAACTCACTCACTCAAACGCATTCTGTGACTTGTTTTAAACTTTTCCTGGATTACCAGTAATGCTTGTGATCAGAGCCGACTAAAATGTGAATCGGATGGACAGGCTGTGCTTTGGTTGTTTGGGGGTCATCCATGTTTTCAGGTACTAGTTCACCTGGTCCAGGCAGCAAAGATATGACTGGAATACAGCTGACTGCGGTGTTAAACAACAAACAAACAAATAGAACGAACGTAAAACTTACACGCTAGCGGTCTCTTCGTCCCATTGCTGCTGATAAAACAGGATTTCGCCCGAATCACTGAAACTGTTTAAATCAAGTATTTTAAAGTTTGGAAAAATCATAAGAAACTTTCTTTTAAAATGCCGCTCGTCCTTTTTCAAGCTGTTACACTAAATAGATCCTATTTCATGAGTAACAAAATAAAGAAGACACCGTTATAGATAAGTTTCTTCTCTTACAAAAGTAATCATCAAATCAAACTCAGTGTTTTTTAACACATACATATTAGACATTTTCGGCTGGTATTGGCATCGCTTCGTTGTCTCACGAGTGCCTCATATTTGGGTTTCAGCAGCCAGCCACAATTAAGCAATCATCGATGAAGCTGATGACAACATTTACACGCAGTTGACAACAAAGACCACTAGCTGTTAAAAACATGTATAACGTACCTGTAACAGGAGGATTATTCAGAAACATGGTCGAATATGAGCAGAAATACTACCAGTAAAACTGTTTAACTGGTGGTGTTGTCCATACGGGTATTGAGCAATGTTGACACAACCGGTGTACAGGTAAATATGTCCCCCGTATTGTTTAATCTGGGTCAGGCACGGTGATAAGCAGCTATCTGAAAGTCTGGGTCTGTCATAGTTTATTTTAAGCACACAGACACACAGTGTGCGTGTATGTGTATGTGTATGTGCGTGCGTGCGTGTGTGCGTGTGTAATGTCTCTGTTTTACTCTAATTATGTTCGTTTGATGTTCGACGGCGCACACAGCAATGTTCCGCCTATGAGGAAGGTGGTCGTCTGTATATAATTAATCAAGAAAAGTAAGATCGAAAGCTCGGTCGCTTATTTTCAAATGCGAGATTTCATGAGATTCCGCAATTCAGCCAAGTCAGGGTTGAACCGCCAACCGCACAGTTTTATGGTCGCGAGGGTACGTTTAATTGTATTAAAATTGAAATTATAACATTTGATGCTTTGATTAATTCTCGAATGTTATGTTTTTTAACTGGTGCAGCGATAAACAACAAACAAACAAAAAGTTCAAACCAGTCTCGAATTATCAAACGAAAATGGATGTCAAGTCAAGACATTTAATATCGTAAAGACCAATACATTTATTTTAAAGTAGTCACTATTCAAGCTATACGTAAATAATCGAGTCTGGACCAGGTAATCTAGTGACCGATATATTATGAGCAATGTTCCACGCCGTCGGGGGCGCGGTGACACGCAATGTAACCAGTCACCGAACCTGCATGCCTACCCGATCCACTAAGACGTCTCCTGCGACGAGCGTAGGTTTCTATGGACCAATTCGAACCCGAATCACCTAGGGGGACAAGTATAAGGTCTGTGAAGGGGCAAAAAGCATGTGATGGAATAGCGTGCGTGTTATATCGGCTTAGGAACGGCCTGAAGAATGGTGGGAATGGAGCTGAGCATGGGGGGGGGGGGGGGGGGAGACATTTTAATCCGTGACGGTGGGTGTGTAGGGGTGAGTGGGTGTTCATTTATTAAGTGACCAATGAGGTACAAGTGAGGTATGGAAAGTGTATCACGAGTGTAACTAATAAATTGTAAGATTCAAGGCTAAACTCGCCAGGGGCGAATTGTTTACACCTAAATATAAAGCACATTTGTTTTTCTAAAAATAGGTAAACCTCCATTTACCATCTGTGCAGTAAATAATTAACTGAAACTCTACAAGATCGAACAAGATATTTAATGTCTTACTTGAAAATCGAAATCTTTACGTACTTTTGGATTTTAGTGTTAGACGGTAGATCTATGTCCGAATATTTACATGGCTGTGAAAGCCCTGGTCACAACGCCAGTGAGTTCTGCCACTGCAGAACGTTCGTTCAGCACAATGAGGCTGATCAAGACATACCTCAGGTCAACAATGACCAATGCGAGAATGAACTCTCTGGCACTTCCACAAGGACATTGACATTGACATTGACTGACTACTTTACCGGAATTGCCCTATTTTTTATGTGCATGCAAGCCAAGTTTCGTCTGTCTTCCCATGTTTTGTTGGTGATGGGTGAGTGGTATAAGGGGAATAACTCAATCCAGCCTCATGGATCTCATTCCTTTGCTGATCGTGGGAGGCCGCTTAATGCATACGTAGAGATTCAGGGTGGGTAACTTGGTTGATGACACGCCAGATAACGGGAGTCCATGCTAACCAAGATCCTTCTGTTCTTTATTGACCACTAGTTTGTGACTGCGAGATCATTCTTTTCTTTATTGACCTCTACTTTGTGACTGCATGATCCTGTGTTCTTTATTGACGTCTATTTTCTGACTGCGTGATCCTTCTGTGCTTTATTGACCTCTAGTTGGTGACTGCGTGATCCTTTGTTCTTTATTGACCTCTTGTTGGTGACTGCATGATCCTTTGTTCTTTATTGACCTCTTGTTGGTGACTGCATGATCTTTTGTTCTTTATTGACCTCTTGTTGGTGACTGCATGATCCTTTGTTCTTTATTGACCTCTTGTTGGTGACTGCATGATCCTTTGTTATTTATTGACCTCTAGTTGGTGACTGCACGATCCTTCTATTCTTTATTGACCTCCAGTTGGTGACTGCATGATCCTTTGTTCTTTATTGACATCTAGTTTGTGACTGAGTGATCCTTCTATTCTTTATCGACCTCAAGTTGGTGACTGCGTGATCCTTTGTTATTTATTAAACTCTAGTTGGTGACTGCACAATCCTTCTATTCTTTATTGACCTCAAGTTGGTGACTGCATGATCCTTTGTTCTTTATTGACATCTAGTTTGTGACTGCGTGATCCTTTGTTCTTTATTGACCTCTAGTTGGTGACTGCATGATCCTTTGTTCTTTATTGACCTCCTGTTGGTGACTGCATGATCCTTTGTTCTTTATTGACCTCTTGTTGGTGACTGCATGATCCTTTGTTCTTTATTGACCTCCTGTTGGTGACTGCATGATCCTTTGTTCTTTATTGACCTCTTGTTGGTGACTGCATGATCCTTTGTTCTTTATTGACCTCTTGTTGGTGACTGCATGATCCTTTGTTCTTTATTGACCTCCTGTTGGTGACTGCATGATCTTTTGTTCTTTATTGACCTCTTGTTGGTGACTGCATGATCCTTTGTTCTTTATTGACCTCTTGTTGGTGACTGCATGATCCTTTGTTCTTTATTGACCTCTTGTTGGTGACTGCATGATCTTTTGTTCTTTATTGATATCTAGTTTGTGAATTCGTGATCCTTTAATTCTGTATTGACCTCCAGTTGGTGACTGCATGATCCATCAAATATCATATAAATATAAGACTGACCCGTGAAGATTCGGGGTAGCGACCGGACCTATGCTTGCTGTAGAAGGCGACTAGCAGGATCGGGTGGTCAGGCTCGCTGACTTGGTTGATACATGTAATCGTATCCAAATTGTGTGGATCGATACTCATGATGCCAATCACTTGATTGTCTGGTCCAGACTCGATTATTTACAGACCGCCATATAGCTGTAATATTGCTGAGTGCGGCATTAAACACCAAACATACACTTTTAACACCAAGAGAGAATACATCATATAAGATTATGATGAGTAGTAGTATTCCAAGCGGATTACTAAAAACATCTTTGCCGTGCGGCGTTAAACAACAAACAAACTAAATATAAGAATATAATCGGAGGGACATTGTTTAACTCTTTTGAATGGCCTCCCCGTGGATTCTGGGTTAGAATTGGTCCCAGCCAAGCTATGCTTGTCGTACTAGGCGACCTAGTGAATCAGTTGGTCGACTCGGTTACGCGATTGACTGCGAGATATCGAACCCGACTGCATGTGGCGTTGGAGTGTGGCGTTAGATGCAATTATATAAACCCCGAGTGCAGCGTAAAAGACAAATGTATGCTAGACGAAGTTGTATTCCCACTACTGATTGTGCCAGGACGGCAGCCACACACTGATCGCAACACATCAACCACAGTTACAGGGCGTTAGGTTAGCCTAGTGGTCAAAGCATTCGCTTCTCATGCCGACGAGCCGGGTTCGACTTCATATTTCTGGAATATTGCCATAAAGCTTCGAACATGAAAAACGACGCGATAGCAACTACTTCAATTTCGTCGTGGATAATAATCAAATCAACGTCATTGTATACTACAAAGTCAAGTGGGGACTTAGTAGTAGTAGCCGCAGTAGGGTGGGTAGTAGTTGTAACAGCAGCAGTAGTAGTAGCCGCAGTAGTAAATGCTGCATGTAGTAATAATAACAGTTGTAATGGGAGTAGCAGCAGTAGTAGTAGTAGTAGTAGTAGTAGTAGCAGTAGCAGCAGCAGCAGCAGCAGCAGTAGTAGGAGTAGGAGTAGTAGTTGTAGTAAGAATTGGTCTTCAGCAACCCACACTTATCATAAGAGGTGACTACCGGGGTCGGGTGGTCAGGCTCACTGATTTAGTTGATGCATGTCATCGTATCCCAATTGTGTAGGTCGATTCTCATGCAGTCAATCATTGGATGGTCTTGGCCAGACTCGATTATTCACAGACCGCCGTCATAAATCTGGAATAGTGTTGACTGCGGCGTTGACAAAACAAAAGTCGTCCCAGTAGAAGTAGCTACAGGAGGAAATAGTGATGAACACTAATGGTATCATATATTGTGAGTCGTGAAGAGCTAAGCCTCGTGATAATTTAAAAGCAAAGACTGCCAGTGGTCCGTGTCTAGTGTATCTTAATAAACAAGACATGGGTTTGCTTTCAGTAGGTAAGACTGGAATAACGCGTAATCCTATTCAGTGGGCTCCCGTCCGTCACACCGATTGTATTTCAAGCTGCCGCTGACATTGTTGATCGTAGCAACCAGTACATTTGCGTGCCCGACTCTCGCCCCCGTTCATCCATTAAGACGGTAGCGGATTAGAAAGGCCATGTTAGGGTTGCGCAAATATGTACAAGAGGTCCCATTCCATGTTAATCCTTTAAAGGGACATGTTAAAATATCCACTATGGTCAAAATTAATAACATAACACGATGACTTCCAAACTAAAGAGTTGTTTTTTTAATCTAATGCAATCTGTATAGATTATTCGGCACATGGTTGATCAATTACAGGCAATAAGGAATCAATAATTATCAGTAGAAACCTGTAGCAGCAAGTTTTCCCACAGTATAATCGATGCGTTAAATACAAACCAGCCCTTAAACAAACAGAACATGGGCTTACAGCTATATTATATTTTTAATAAACAGGTAACATGTTAGTGATTTATCATTGACTATGTGTCTGATAACAGGCAGTGTCTACTACATTACAAGGATGATAACAAAAGCAGCTGAGTTATACCAGTGGCTGGGTTCACAGAGCAGCGTTAAGGTGCACCTATAGAGGGCCTCTTCAATACTTGATAAAGCATTGTAACCACCACAGATCAAACAGGCAATCAAGCACTGGCAGGCCAACACGCACATGTGCCAGCTGGGTTTAATTTGGTAGCCCACGCGAAGGTACCAGCATTGAACTGTTTTTAAATACATGTACTTTATGATGACACTTCGAAGGACCTCGGACCGTTCACGTGCAATGTGGAATGACATAATCCAAGCAGATCGTTGATATGACAGATCCGAAACGGGTACAGTTTGAGAATGACGACTCGAACAGCCAAGTTGTAAGTACGGTGATTCGTTCAACACTGACTGGTTGTATACAGTTGTTGTATATCACGTTACGGTTTATGCGAGAAGGAGACACGAAACTTTATTTGTTTGTCAGTCATTTATATTAGTTTGTGTTACAGTCTACATGTCACATGTCTAATGTATACTTGAAGTATTAACTTGATAATGTCTCATTTTATTGCGGATTAGATACTTACAGGTATTTTGTTGTGTTGGAGACTATGCTATATATGGACGCGTAAGGTGTTTGTTTTACTGATACAGCGATAGAGTGTGTAAACAAGCGTTATTTGTGTGGGGACGTTACCGCCATTGTTTCAAGTTCTTAAACATGATAGGATTAGATTTATGGGTTGGATACATAATGCAATGAACTGTGTAAGCCTCTATCTCCTATTTGTGAGAGTTTTTAAAATATATTGTAGTATACGGTCAGTAAATTACGGTTCAGGAAGCAATATAGAATAGTGGTAGGTACACCCATACCAAGGATAACACGTATCATTTACTCTACTCACTGTCCAGATATATGTCACCTACTTGACACCCTCCCTCCCAACCACCCCCACTGTCTCTGTCTCTCTCTCTGTTTGTCTCTCGATCTCTGTCTCGATCACTGGAGTGTCGATTATATAGCTGAAATATTGCCAAGTATACAACTAGCACAGATCCCTATATGTCAGTGTGTGTCTCTCTCTCTGTGTTAATGTATCCTGCCTGTATAACGGGATCTAACGACTCTGCCAGTGTATTCGCTACATGTTAACAGCCCAGCACAATAGGCCCGAGTCAGTGAACACACCTGAATGAGAGCAGGCAACATGGCGTGAACTGAAGGTGTTAGTCGTTATGTAGGCCTGTTTCCCGGAAACAACGAAACAATATTTGTTCTTTTCTGAAGATAAGTGCGATAATATTAAAAAGGTAATTTAAATAGTAAATAAGTTGATTGCCCTTTGTTATGCCATAATTTGGTAGTTGTGTAAACAACTTGGCTGTTCGAACCCAGGGGCGGTCGGGTAGCCTAGTGGTTAAAGCGTTCGCTCGTCACGCCGAAGACCCGGGTTCGATTCCCGACATGGGTACAATGTGTGAAGTCCATTTCTTGTGTCCCCCGCTGTGATATTGCTGGAATATTGCTAAAAGCGGCGTAAAACCATACTCACTCACTCACTGTTCAAACCCTACACAAAAAGTCAACAACTAAGATCCTTGAATCTTTGAATTGCCGATATTTACAATTATTTTATCAAATAACTGATAGGAACTGTCATGGGTATATTAAGTATATCTACCATCAAATAATTAGACATGAAACGACCTCTTCATTGTTTCTGATCACATTCCAGAGCTACTGTTACCCTTATTCAGGGGAATAGCCTCCCACATCAAGCTGACACGCTGTGATACACCTGACATACTGTTCCATACCCAAGAATCTGTGCCATGAGTATCACCCCACGTTGAAATCACTCAACCGTAAAATGGTGATAGATAAAGAGGACGCGTAGTTTCAAAGTTCTGTACGTTAGTAAGGTTGAAATATTCAATAAAGTTTCCACTGGACTTAAATGATTGGATTACATGTCTTTATAGTGAAATAATTTACAAATGTTTAAAGCATTTGGGAAACATTTAAAACTACGTTGAAAGTCGCATTAAACTAGCATACAGGTGCAGCAAAAAAGATGTTATCCATAAACTAATCATTCATTGTTCTACCACCTTCCAATATAAGCCACATAACATATAATATCAAACTCTAACTTACTTATTTTCTGAAACGACCCGTGAAGATCCGGGGTAGAATAGGTCTTCAGCAACCCATGCTTGCCGTCAAAGTCGACTATGCTTGTCGTAAGGCGACTAATGGGATCGGGTGGTCAGGCTCGCTGACTTGGTTGATGTATGCCATCGTATCCCAATTGCGTGGATCGATACTCATGATGTCAGTCAAGGGATTCTCTTGTCAAGACTCGATTGTTTACAGACCCCCGTGATATAGCTGGAATATTGCTGAGTGCTGCGTTAAACAACAAACAAACAAACAATATGCTGAAACATTTTGTCTCTTGATAAGTAACAAGCAACCGGAAACTGTCCGGGTATGACAACGTGAAAGAGGATTCAAACTCAGTCAACATTATTGCAATGTTGCATGCCTTCAGGCCTCACTAACTCATGCCAATTTCTATGTTTTCTGTCAGTTCGCTGCAAAGTAATTCCCAAATTCCACCATGCGTTTTCATAGTGTGTCAATATAGGTAAGCATAGCAGAGGACGTAACGTCCCGTGGGGTACGTAAGTGTCAGTGAGCCTATATGGCTACCCTATTTCACGCTTGACACATGCTTCGTCGTCTACCTGCATATTGTAGGCGGTGCCTTGTGGGTCTCCTAGGCCAGCAGGGTGTATGTTTGTGTATCACGTAGACTTAAAGGAGGTCCAGACCCGGATTTATTGACAGCCCCAGCACATTTGGTTCAATTCCAAGCCTATCAAAGAAAACCAGCACAGAGCTACCAAACTATGGAATATACACACACATTCAATAGATATAGCCACACACGTAGTATTTATTACTCACACAAATTACTACGACACAATCCCCATAAAGTTTGCATCTTAATGGTAACAATTTCAATGAAATTGAACACAGTAAATTACGCAGCGTGTTACCATTTGTTGCGGTGTGCGTGATTGACTGTTTGGTTATTTCTATTTGAAGTGTGTACACATGGCTTCGCTTCGTAGGTCTCTGCTGGTTTTCCTTAGAAGGCCTGAAATTGTGAAAAGCCCACTTTCGCAATTTGCTGATCAATTTTATTTATGTATTTATAATCAGTTAATAATTATCCTTATTACACAAGACAATGCCTCAATTAAACACAATTAATTACTAGACCTGGACTTGAAAAGGCCACCAGGCCACTTAGCATACCTTCCATTTAAGGTTACATTGTATCCGAATGGTCGGAGAGAGACTGAAATGAAAACGAAAATTAAAAAACCCAAAATGTTTCACTTTAACATATATATATATACTTATTTTAGAGAAGATGCCATCATTTATTTCACAGGAACCACTTTATCGCGCATGTGCGCTGGGATCCATAGACGACATCCGGAACTTCTTTAACAGCAATCCTAAACTAGAAGACCTCTTCTACGTAAGTAGTGGTCTCCTTCATCTGCAGTGATGCTGGTTCATGTCAACAATGAGTGGGTGAGTGAGTTGGGTTTTACGCCGCTTTTAACAGTATTACAGTTATATCACGGCGTGTCAGCTTAATGTGGGAGGAAAGCCCGAAGTGATGCAGAAACCCACGAGCACGGGTATGGTGCTGACAAACCTAGAAACATAATCGGGTCTAACCGGGATTCGAACCCACAATCATAGATTTCTGGCGTGCCCAAGGGACGCAACTCTGCACAGCGAATCGCGGCGCCTTAGACGACTGGGCCACCAGTGGCCCCATGTCAACAATGACCTGAATAGTTGGTATTTAATCATTAGAGGGAAAGACAAAAAAAACACATATAAATATATTTGCTTGCAAAGAGTGAGTGAGTTAAAACAGTTCGCTGAGGTGTGCCAGCAACCTATGATCGTGGGTTCGAATCCAAAACTCGCCCTGTTCATGTTTCCCTGTTTGTCAGCACCATGCACGTGCTCGTGGTAAACGTCTGGGATTGGCACGAATTTGGGTTTCCTGCCACGCCAAGCTGAAATACTTTCGAATCGGCGTTAAATGCCATGAAGTGACGGTGCTTGCTAAAAGAATAGATGTAAAAGTAATATTACTCGTCATGAAAGGGGGCGCGGGTGGTCGAGTCGCTGGGCAGAGTTGCGTACCTTAGACACGCCAGAAACCTATGATTGTGGGTTCGAATCCCGGTTCGCCCCGATTATGTTTCTAGGTTTGTCAGCACCATACCGGTGCTTGTGGGTGTCACCAAAATAGTAAACGTCTAAGACTTGCATCACTTCCCTCCCACATTAGGCTGACACGCCGTGATATAACTGGAATATTGTTAAAAGCCGTGTTAAACCCAACTCATTAACGTAAGGAAAGAATACATGTATTACGTCATCAAGGCATCGTGTTCCTCTGGGTTTTGACTGTCCCAGCAAAATATTTATGTCGTACACAAGAAAAAGTGTCGGTATTCAGTTATACCAAACAGGATTGACAAATGCATCATAGACAAGTGCCTTATTCATTTTCTTATTGCATGGCTTTTGTTGTTACTAGGAAGGGTTGTCTCCCCTGCACGTCGCTATATTGAGTGACCGCAATGACGTCATCGATGTGATAGAAGTCCTCGTCAACAACGGCGTTGACGTGAATGCTCAGACAGAGACGAATAAAGACACAGCACTCCACCTAGCGGTAGAAAACGGAGAATTTCCTCAGAATTATGACGTCATAGTCAAACTAATCGACTGCAAGGCGGATGCTGAAATCCGCAATAAGGTGAGAGGATCTGTCGGCGTGGAGACGTTAGGTGGCGCTCCGCACGGACTATACATTGTACCGTGTGTAATAGGACTGAAGGCTAGCTCACCAGAGTTGCGTCCCTTTGACGTTCAAGAAACCTATGATCATGGTTTCGAATCCAATATTCGTTCTGATTATGTTCCTAGGATTGTCAGCATCATACACGTGCTCATGGGTTTTACAATGGTCATCAACTAGAACCACCATCACTTCTAGCTTTCCTCCCAAATCAAGCTGTAATAGAACTGAAATACTGTTCAAAGCGGCGTTAAACCAAACTCGCTCCTACTGTACGTGACCGCCTCCGTGGTCTAGTGGTAGAGCGTCCGCCCGGAGAGCGGAAGGTCCGGGTTTCTATCCCCGGCCGCGTCATACCAAAAGACGTTAAAAGATGGTACTTGTTGTTACCCTGTCTAGCGCTCGGCATTAAGGGGCTAAAACAAGGACTGGTCGGCTCGGAGTCAGTATACTGTGTCTGAGTGGGGTATCCATGTTAAACTGCGGCATGATATCTCAGCACTATAAATCGGCATCAGTCCGGACTAGTACAAGCAGCCACACACACACACGTGCATGCACGTCGCTATATAAGCGCAATTATCTTGGACGCGACGTTAAACCCACTTTACGTGGAGCCATCGAAATCTCCCCTTGGTCCATTTAGATATATCTAGGGAAGTTTACATCCCTTTTTATCCAGGGTTTCTCTAGCTATCGTTTCTCATTTCTACGACAATCGTGGTCAACAAGGCCGCTACGTGTATGCACACTACTAAAACACCACTGAGGGGCAACGCAGCCAAAAAGTAATATTTATTGTAAATATCATTTCACGTACAAAATAGGTATCCATGGTTACAATTCATCACACGTCAGATGTAGATTGATGCCTTTAAACTGATGGACGCCATTGATTGCCAAGCAGATCATGGTCACTGACGATATTTTTCAGCGCCTTCGCTCCGCCTATGACTGTGCATTAGCTAAAGGCCATGACCTCGTGGCCTCAACGCTGGACGGTTCCAAAAGTAGCAACGAGGTGCAGAATTCCTACCGTGAACGATATGGGGAGAAATATGCCGTGAGTTTTCATTCTTTTACCATGAGTGTTGGAATTCCTCGAAGGATGATGAATAACCCTTTTATAAACACCAGCATGACACATACTAAGTTTACCATTGTTCTGAAGATCTAGGGGTGATCGGGTAACCTAGTGGTTAAAGCGTTCGCTCGTCAAGTTGCAGATCTAGACCCGGGTTCGATTCCTGACATGGGTACAATGTGTGAAGCCCATTTCTGGTGTCCCCCGCCGTGATATTGCTGGAATATTGTTAAAAGCGGCGTAAAACCACATTCACTCTCTCTGAAGAACTAAAATTAGGGTACCCATGTCTAGATTCAGAGCCGTGTTAATTTCTGAAGAAATCTACCTATCGCTTAGCTCTCTTTCATCCCTAGATCGCCGTCGTGGTCTAGTGGTAGAGCGTCTGACCCCAGAGCGGAAGGTCGGATCGATCCCTGGCCGCGTCATACGAAAATACGTTAAAAGACGGTACTTGTTTTTTCGCTGCCCAGAGCTCGGCATGAAGGTCATAAATCAAGGACTGGTCGGCTTGGAGTCTGTATACTGTGTCTGAGTGGGGTATTCATGTTAAAACCGCAGCATGGTATCTCAATGGGCTAGCACTATAAATCTGTCATATGCCCAGCCTAGTGGAAGAAGCCACAAACACACACCTGTGCACGCACGTCGCCGTTTAAGTATCTTTAGAAGTGGCATTTAGAAGTTGGCATGTTTAAGACGGGAGATAATTCTATGGATAGAGTTCTTCGTTACACTGAATGCCATATAAGTACAATAACTTTGAACACGACGTTAAACCCCATTTCACCTCACCTCTTCAAGCCGCCCAGTCAGTGCAGCGTAATTAGTTTCCCGTTACTGACGCCATGTCCCTTATATCACCAGATTGCATGAACCAGACAATCAACTCCGGGTTGTTAGACGAGTTAACTGGTGTATTTATAATCTTGAATTGATTAATGCTCCTCCGGGATTGTTTCCCAGACAGTGTCTATAACCAATGAGGGCCCTGACTGACCATATTGCAACTGAACACGTTTAATCAGTCGCCGTATCAATGCCGATCAGAATGTGTTCTAAGTAACCTCTGATGTTCGTGAGACGCGGACCCGTGAAAATCCGGGGGAGAATACGTCTTCAGCAACCTATGCTTGCCGTGAAAGGAGACTATGCTTGTCGTAAGAGGCGACTAACGGGATTGGGTAGTCAGGCTCTCTGACTTGGTTGATGCGTGGATCCCAATTGCGTGGATCGATGCTCATGATGTCAATCACTGGATTTTCTGGTCCAGACTCGAATATTTACAGACCGCCGTCATATAGCTGGAATATTGTTGAGTGCGTCGTTAAACACCAAACAAACAAACAAACAAACAAACGTAAGACGCGGCGTAATGGATGGGATGGTCAGGCTCGTTAACTTCAAGTTGGTTGACTGTGTGTCAACGTCCCCGATTTGATTGATTCTTGCTCATAATATCAATTTTTGGATTGTCTGGTCCGACACGAATATTTACGGACTGGAATTTGCCGAGCGCGGCGTGTAATCAGCCTGATTTCCTTGCCGCTTTTTTTAAACGAAGGGAACATATTGTTTTAGTTTCAATTATGAATAATTGAGAACAGGAATTTGCGTATGGAAACATTTTTCATCGAAAAGGTTCATATGAAACGCTAGTCGTAAGTGACTTCTAAAGAGAAGAATGAGGTGGACTCTCGGTTTTGGACTCGTCATCCTTCACCGATTTCGTGGGTCGTTGTCCACGTTATCAACTGCCGGTTACATGACCGAGGGTTTGTTATTTATGTGTCTTCACGACATAGCTTGAATGTAGTTGCCTATGGCGTAAAACAACATGCAGTCACTCACTGGCCTCCGTGTTTCAGCCCATCTTGAACAAGGCGGTGTTGGAGAGTGATGAAGACACCATGAAAGAGTACATCAAGAAAGGTGCAGACCCCAACTACATCAACAAGGTACGCTTCCAAGACACAGCATCCATCACAAGTAGTAGGCTCAGGCGATGCCTTTGCACAAGTTAGTGAGTGAGTGAGTTGGGTTTAACGCCGCTTTTAAAAGAATTCCAGTTATATCACGGTGTGTCAGCTTAATGTGGGTGGAAGGCCCGAAGTGATGCAGGTCTTAGACGTTTACCACTTCGGTAAAACCCACGAGCACGGGTATGGTGCTGACAAACCTAGAAACATGATCGCGGCGAACCGGGATTCGAACCCACAATCATAGGTTTCTGGCGTGTACAAGGGACGCAACTCCACACAGCGAATTTCGGCGCAAAAGACGACTGGGCCAGCCGTGCCCTTCTCTGCACAAGTATAAAGCGCGCTGGCGCAGATTTATTTTTCTAGGTTTACAATCAGAAGGGCAAGGTGACTCGAGAAAATATATTCCGAGTCAAAAGAAATTTGTTTCAGCCAGAGTCTGGCTTTGTTGTTGATGTTAAATAAGAATGCTTCTTTCAAGAGCCATGAAACGAATGGTGAAAATAATCACACGCAACATGTGACTGTTTATAGCAGTATTAACTTAAACATTCTAATGTATGGCTTCTTACTATTGCTATAATCCTATCCGAAATGCATGTCTTCAGTTTGGCGCCGGCGCTATCCACTATGCACTCACTCGATGTACACTTCCTGTCATGCGCGTGCTGGACATGCTTATATCCGCTGGGGCGGATGTTGATCTCAGGGATGATGTAAGTATCATTAAAACTACCTGTGTTGCTGCTAAGCTGCAGTTCTTGATAATAATTGTACGGCAAGGCAAACACAGGGGGATCTGAATTCTTTGATTTGATCAACAAAATGATTAAATGCTCTTTTCACTGGATTTTCTGGTCCATCACTTGATTGTCTGGTTTGTTTAGGTCGCCGTCGCACTTTACTGCGGACAATCGAGACTTGTTATTCTCTGACGTTGACGTTTTTTGGTATATTGTATAACACGGTTTTATCATAAAAACCTAACATATTTTGCTCGATCCTTTGTTTGTTTAACGACGAACTCAGAAATAGGCCAGCTATTTGACGGCGGTTTGTAAAAAATCGAGTCTAGACCAGACAATCCAGTGAATGACATCATGAACATCGATCCACGCAATTGGGATACGATGACATGCATCAACCGAGTCAACGGGTCTGACCACCCGATCCCGTTAGTCGCCTTTTACGACAAGCATAGTCGCCTTTGACGGCAAGCATGGGTTGCTGAAGACCTATTCTACCCCGGATCTCCACGGGTCGCTCGATCCTTTGAATTAGTACTCAACTAAGAGCAAACTGTTTCCGACAAATGTCCTATTGGAGGAGACGTGTTTGTCCCAATTGGCCTAAGAGACTACTAAGACTGCTATATTTTGTTTGTATTCCTTAGTTGTGCTCTTTGTCATGTCAGGAGCCGCTGGTCTTGGGTTAAAGCCAAGATTTGAATGCTCCTCTCTCAATCTCAGCTGTCGAACTGAGACGTTGCTCAGACCTGTTTGTGGTTTAAAGTCATTTTTATGTAAATCGTACTGACCCCGAGTATTATATTTACCATATGAAGAGTGGGGTCTCCAAGTATTATATTTACGGTGTGTAGAGTAGGGTCCCAAAGTATTATATTCACCACATGAAAAGTAGGATCCCCAAGGCTTATATTTACCATATGAAGAGTAGGGTCTCCAAGTATTATATTTACGGTGTGTAGAGTAGGGTCCCAAAGTATTATATTCACCACATGAAAAGTAGGATCCCCAAGGCTTATATTTACCATATGAAGAGTAGGGTCTCCAAGTATTATATTTACGGTGTATAGAGTAGGGTCCCAAAGTATTATATTCACCACATGAAAGGTAGGATCCCCAAGGCTTATATTTACCATATGAAGAGTAGGGTCTCCAAGTATTATATTTACCATGTGAAGAGTAGTGACTCCTAGTATTATATTTACCCCGTGAAGAGTAGTGACTCCCAGCATTATATTTACCCCGTGAAGAGTAGTGACTCCCAGCATTATATTTACCATGTGAAGAGTAGTGACTTCCAGTATTATATTTACCATGTGAAGAGTAGTGACTTCCAGTATTATATTTACCCCGTGAAGAGGAGTGACTTCCAGTATTATATTTACCATGTGAAGAGTAGTGACTCCTAGCATAATATTTACCATGTGAAGAGTAGTGACTCCCAGTATCATATTTACTATGCGATGTAATCCAGAGATAATCGGAGACTTCTTTCAGGAAGGGGACAGTGCTCTTAACCTGGCCATCAAGAGCGAAGATCTCCGTAAGAGTGGCCAGATGATGCCAGTGGTCAACCTCCTCCTCGAGTGTGGTGCCGATATCACCTTTAAAGATCTGGTAGGCTTTGCCCGAGCTGCATTATTTAAATGCTCTGATAGGATTAGGTTATGTATGTGTAACTGTATTGAACACTGCAAAATTCGTAATAGTGTTGGGAAGGGGTGGGGTTAACGAAAGAATATTTTGTTGGTATTTAAGTGCAAGCAGTTACTAACAAGCGCACCTCCGGGTATTGTGTTATGATAAATCTATTTAGTACGAAAGTATCTGTTATTTTGTTGTCACTGGTGTGTCCTGGGGGCAGGATAGGCTCACCTTGCCGTAAACACCTGGTATCATCACCATTTGATAGAGGTTCATAAAGAAATGCTTATGATATGGTCGGATTTAGCAGAGATTTCTTACGATTATTATTATTGTTGTTGTTGTTATTATTATTATTACAGGACGGCAAGGATGCGCTCAAGCTGGCCAAGGAGAAACAATACAGCGATGTAGTTGCTGTGCTGACCAAGTCCCAGTCGGAACACCCCAGGGTACGTAAAACATGCAAGACCTTATGTTATTTTTAGTTAATTGGGTTATGGATTTGCCCCCAAACCGATAGTCGAAACAAAGTCAATATTTTAAAAATACTGCTTTCCTAAAACTAGTGTTGTTGGAGCTACATGAAAAAAAACCGATAAATAAATGAAAAGTTGTTTTGGCTTTTTACTTTTCATTGGTTGGTTTACAAACTGTTTGTCCAAAGCTCAATGTAGGTGACCAATCAGTTCTTTTCGGATTGCAACATCAAACCTAACATACAGTTCATGAATAAAGAATAAAGAATAAACCAGTGTTAAATTGACAGGACGTTAAGTTCAGTGTTGGCAGTGTGGGTGTGGCACTTATCCCAGCAAATCTTTGTCCACACCCACAAATATCTGCAAGAGTCGAGGAGAACACCAATCAGTGTATCTACCTTGTGCTACCGTGTGTCCATTGTCAACTCCGGTAGTTTTAGAACCATGGCAGAGGATTGGTCCCACGGATACATGTCGTTAATAATCACATGGCTCGCACGTTCCTTGGCGATACCCGATTGTGAATGAGTGGCCCCCAAACCATATTTTGTTCCTTAAAAGTTTTATTTTGTAGACCAACTAATAAACTATAATATGCCTCAGAGAAATGTTTTAACGGTCTCGGGGGGGGGGGGGGGGGGGGACGACTTCCGACATTTGTTATTTTCGGAGAACGACGGATCCATAAACCAAGTTTAAGAAAAACACCTACAATCCCCCAAATATGTCAGTTAAAATATCTTCAGTTAGAAATTGTTGGATATCCTTTGTAATGAATGTGAACTGTGTGTGATACACTTCCTGTGACATAAGGTATTCACTAACACGGAATGTGCGGTCAACTCCAGTAAAATACATGTTATACTGCATGCGTAATATAGGAAGGTGAACAAAACCCCGAGCCCTCTCCGGAGAGTATTCCGGAGCCATCTCCGGAGCCAGGACCGGCGACCTCTCCGGTTCCAAAACCGGAAACAATTCCATCACCGGAACCGGAAGTGAGTATGGTGCAAGTGAATAACCGCCTGCGACGTCTAACCTCCTCTCTCTCCGTGTGATGTAATACATCGGGTTCTACTTAAAAGGATGGCCTCCGTTTGAATATTTCTCTCTAACAGAGTCATTAACACTTACTTAATACATGTATATTATGTTTTTGTTTTGTTTTAGTTGAAACCAGCCTTTATTTACAGTGTGATGCACATTATTTTGTTTATATAGAAGTGTTGCACATATCATTTATGCATGGGGGGGGGGGGGGGGGGGGGGGGGGGGACGACTTCCGACATTTGTTATTTTCGGAGAACGACGGATCCATAAACCAAGTTTAAGAAAAACACCTACAATCCCCCAAATATGTCAGTTAAAATATCTTCAGTTAGAAATTGTTGGATATCCTTTGTAATGAATGTGAACTGTGTGTGATACACTTCCTGTGACATAAGGTATTCACTAACACGGAATGTGCGGTCAACTCCAGTAAAATACATGTTATACTGCATGCGTAATATAGGAAGGTGAACAAAACCCCGAGCCCTCTCCGGAGAGTATTCCGGAGCCATCTCCGGAGCCAGGACCGGCGACCTCTCCGGTTCCAAAACCGGAAACAATTCCATCACCGGAACCGGAAGTGAGTATGGTGCAAGTGAATAACCGCCTGCGACGTCTAACCTCCTCTCTCTCCGTGTGATGTAATACATCGGGTTCTACTTAAAAGGATGGCCTCCGTTTGAATATTTCTCTCTAACAGAGTCATTAACACTTACTTAATACATGTATATTATGTTTTTGTTTTGTTTTAGTTGAAACCAGCCTTTATTTACAGTGTGATGCACATTATTTTGTTTATATAGAAGTGTTGCACATATCATTTATGCATGATATATTGTAACTGTTATGTTATTGAAAGCATGTCTTACAGTGTGATGCACGGTGTTGTTATAAGTAGTGTACTTATCGTTTTTTGCATTATTTGTTATACTAACGCTTATTTGTTGATAATAATCCAATAAACAACTGTGATTGTATTGGTAACCTTACCCTAAGATTCTGTTTGTTTTCTTAACTTATTCAAAAGAGCCACTAGCTCTGAATGTAATGCTTTTATATGATACCGCCATGTTTTACCCCGATTTGAATACCTCTTTGGAGCTTCATTCATGAGTCGAATGTGTGTCTGTGTGTTGGACGTGTGTGACCGATGTGTGGCCGAGTGGTCTGCAGTGTCGCAATTTGCTGTACATAATTGCTTCCCTTAAGCTGAACCGCTGGTCGAGGGCTCGAATCCCGACTATGATCCTTGGTATGACCCATGAAGATCCGGGGTAGAATAGCTCTTCAGCAACCCATGCTTGTCGTAAAAGGCGACTAACGGAATCGGGTGGTCAGACTAGCTGACTCGATTGATGCATGTTATCGTATCCTAATTGCGTGGACCGATGCTCATGATGTCAATCACTGGATTGTCTGGTACAGACTCGATTTTTCACAAACCGCCGTCATATAGCCCAGTTTTAGGGTGATATACTGCCATCATATTTCATCTGTGTAACGGGTATCAGTTTTTATCATATAATGGGTAGGTTTCTCGGCAGGATAAAACCAACGGATAAAAACGATATCCGTTGGGGTCGCCAAGGCTCGCTAAATACAACGTTTATTCCTAATGCAGGATATTTACCATCCCCAAACACACTCGCTTGATAACCTCTATATCTTTCAAGGTCAATAAAATTGATTATCATTAAGGGTAATATTTCCGATGTAATCGATTGTCGGAGCACGGTGATACTGCACGTCTTGAGCATTTTAGTTAGCCTCCGTCTTGCCACTTCAGAATATACTTAGACCATGTAAGTCATCTACACGATAAATGGCAAATCACACATGAATTTCTCTTGCCGCCGCTTGTAGTGACACCGGTAGGCCGTGGAGATTCCCAGTAGGAACAGGTCCCCAGTACCCTGTGCTTGTCGTAGGAGGTGGGTACAATGGATAAGGTGGTCAGCCCGCCGTCATATAGCTGGAATAGTGCCGAGTTAAACAAATACAGGCAATCCCAGCCGTTCACGCACATCAAACTGATTGTTTTAAATGGTGAGAATAAAATAATTATGTGACCATGGTTTTAGAGATTTTTCTTAACATTTTACAATTAAATATTTCAGCATGTGGTCGTGGAAGCAGTGGAAGACACACGTGAAACTGATGGCAACGTGAACACTGCGAATGAGGTATGTCCAACAATCGCATCGGCACAAAAAAGCGACTCAATATATTTAATAGAGAGGTTACAAAAGTGAACTGTGTACACAGATGGCATAGTGACGTTGTGCCGTCGATGGCGAAGGGCTGGCGTTGGACTTCCACTGGTGGCACAACCATGACGTTTGTTTGTCGATGTAACGTGGGGCCAACAACGGTTTGATGTAAACATGCAGCAGTAACTCTATGATGCAGACTGGCCACACAACGGGGGACCGAAAAACTGGAGACGTTTCGGGTGGAAATGTAATAGATGTTGGGACAAAAACTTTGTTGAAGGCCGTTGGATTTCTGGGTAGAATTGGTGACCAGCAATTTCTGCTGGTCGTAAGAGGCGACCAAATGGATCGGGTGGTCAGGATTCGGTGACTTGGTTGATGCCGTGTCATAGTACCCCGACGGCGTAGCATTTTTCACGATATCAATCACGGGATTGTCTGGACCAGGTTCAATTATTTACAGGCCGCGTTATATAATTATAATATTGCGGCGTTAAACAACAATAAAACATACTAACAAAAGAAAGTAATTTGGATGGTTTCTTTCTGCATCACATGATGTTCACTTAAGGAAGGTCACTTAAGTTAAACTTACCTTTCTAAAATGACGGATAAAATGTGGGAAAGGGCCAACATTGGTTGCCTACAAATATTCAGTTACAATATGTTGAAGGTCCCAGAAACATCAAGTCGATAGTGATCTTTTAAATGATTAATTGTACAGTTGATCGGGTATATTCTGCCAACTGAAATGCCATTACTTGTAATCATTATTCGTACAATGTTAATGTCGTTTTATAAAACACATATCGTCATATCCATTCTCTCTTGGGGTAATAAGTGGGATTTCGTTTTGTTTGTTTCTGTTTTGTGATTTATTGCAACAATATTTGTTTCACCATGCCCCAGCGCGAATTTCTATCAGATTTGACATTTTATTTCTATACAAAAAAACAGAAGAGCATTACGATACAGGCCCCACAAAGTATGATGAAGAGATCATTCCCAATGTACATTGCAGGACGGACTGTATCCGATTCACCAGGCCGTGTTGAAGGACGATCCTGAAGAGAGGCAGAAGTTGTTGGAGACGTTGACGGAAGCAGGCGCCGATGTCAACGTTGTTGTAAAGGGGGTGAGGAGTGGAGAACGCAAATATCTGAAAAATACATATGTAGAGAAACGTCGTCCTCGGGATCATAGAATGAACTCATGTTGAATTTTACTAGTCCGAGAAAAACAAATCTGATTCCGGAATGCTGGAAAATATGACAAAGAAATCTTCAGCTGAAGAGTTGAAGCGTCCTTCGGCGTGTGGTAGTGTCATCTCTGTGGTCGCTCCTTCTTATTTCTACACGTAACGGCTTGGTTCGGCGTGGGGGCACGGGTGGCCCAGTCATCTAAGGCGCCGCGATTCGCTGTGCAGAGTTGCGTCCCTTGGGCACGCCAGAAACCTATGATTGTGGGTTCGAATCCCGGTTCGCAGCGATTATGTTTCTAGGTTTGTCAGCACCATACCCGTGCTCGTGGGTTTCACCGAAGTGGTCAACGTCTGAGACCTGCATCACTTCGGGCTTTCCTCGCACATTAAGCTGACACGCCGTGATATAACTGGAATACTGTTAAAAGCGGCGTTAAACCCAACTCACTCACTCACTCACTTGGTTCGTCGTGGATACTTGATTGGTTTGGTTGCTCTCGGTTCTATTATAGGATTAATACCACCACGACTTTTTATTGGGACATATCCTACCATACTCTTTGATCATTCATGTTTTTTTATCAATCAATGCATGATACGCTAGGAAACTCGATCAATCTTGTTACCAAATTGTTATGAAATTGGAAATGTTGCTCGCACATATTTACATGTTATAAATGTTTTTGGAAAATGGGAATGGTCTATAATTCATGTGTTATTGAAGACGCGAATAAGATGAATATGTGATTGTATCAGATTACGTCAAGAAAACCCCATGTTTTTACGCTATTAGTAGCAGAATTAAACATATGCTCGACATAATCCTTTGCTAAAACGACACTACACATCGTTAATTAGTACGATATGATTCAATGGTAAACACTGGTATGCCAACATTCTATGTTAAAGCTTAGCGTCATATGTTACAGCTTGGGACGACACCTCTCCATCTGGCCGCGGACAAGAATAGGGTCGACTCTGTGAAATTCCTGCTGGAACATGGTGCGGACAAGACTAAGAAGACACTGGTAGGTCTTTGTATAGGCAGATGTAAAACCACAGGCATTCCTCGCTGAATTTATATCGCCTATTCAACCGAACGGGCTTGTGGAATAATTACTATAACACTAACTATGTTCTTACTACTATATTCTTCCACTGGGGATATGAATGGTTGTGCTTCATGTGTTGTTTAACGCCGCACTCAGCAATATTCCAGTCATATAGAACTGCGGCTTCTGTGCTTCGTGAGTGAGTGAGTGAGTGATTGAGTTGCGTTTACCGCCGCTATTTTAGTTTAATCACGACGTGTGGGGGGAAACCTGGAGTGGTGCAGCTGGGAGGTGCATGTCACCTAGGCGAAACCCACGATCACGGCATGGTGCCAGCATACCAATGATCATAATCATGGCCAATCAGGGATTCGAGCAATGGTATGTACCGCTGCACAGTCAAGACAATATCATGGGGTATGGGGAGTGTTGCAGACCTACAGGGCAACAGCAGGCTAAAGAAGTTAAAACAAAGAGCCATGTTTTAAGCTTTTCATGTACAGAAATCTGAGTGTAAACTGGAGGGGGCTGAGCTCTTAAGCTGTAAAAAGCTAGAATGCGGGTACAACCCTTCAATGGTAAATATGTGCATTGCCAAACTATACACGGACAGTTGAGAACATGTTAAAATAGGTCTTCAGCAACCCCTGCTTGTAAGAGACGACTAACGGGATCGGGAGGACAGGCTCGCTGACTTGGTTGATGCTTGTCATTGGTCCCAATTACATAGATAGGTGCTAATGGTGTCAATCACTGTATTGTCTGCTGTAGACTCGGATTATTTACAGACCGCCGTCATATAGCTGGAATATTGGGTGGCGTTAAACAAAAAACAAACAAAACATGTTTACTCCTCTCATTGATAACCCTACAGATTGGCAAAACGGCGTTTGACATGGCGTCCGACAAACAGCACACCGAGGCGATGGAGCTGCTTGGGGACCGCCATGACATCGTCCAGGACAAGTGGAAGAAGGGGGCCAAGAAGTCCAGCTCCTGCAGCATATTATGACCCGAAGACCCGGATCACGACCTCCCCAAGTGCAATCCCCATGCTCCACGTCCAGGGGCGTTTGTGATATTGAAGTGTGAGCCCCTGTTACAGCACTAACTCTCATGTTTACAATATACTGCCTGGGAGTATACGGTCTGACGTACCCTCTGTGTAACCGTGTACACCCCTACTTGAAAACAAAGGATTCGAAGCCTTTGTTTGTAGCAAAATTTGCTGTCAAACTCCAGACAAAATGTATATGTTTAGGCATCTAAAATCAATGTTAATATAGTGAGTGAGTGAGTGAGTATGGTTTTACGACGCTTTTAACAATATTCCAGCAATATCACGGCGGGGGACACCAGAAATGGGCTTCACACATTGTACCCATGTCGGGAATCGAACCCGGGTCTTCAGCGTGACGAGCGAACGCTTTAACCACTAGGCTACCCGACCGCCCAATGTTAATATACATCATGCGACGCCGTTTCGCAGAAGGGAGCTTGAATGTTGCGAGTACAATTTATTTTCTGGGTACATGGAAATTTATCAAAGCGTCATTGACCAATAAAATTCAAGTATTTTACATGAAAGGTAAGATAAGTGGTGATTAAGTGGGGTTTGACGCGGCATTTTGCAATATTCCAGCAATATGGCGGTGATGGGTGTTGGAGGCCAGAAATGGCGATCACACATCGTACAAATGTGAGGAATCGAGTCGGGGCGTTTACTGCTTGCCTACCCCACCGTCTAGGATGTTAAGTGAGGGTGGAATTGAGTGAAGAGCGTAGAAGGTGATAATAATTAAGACAATGAGTGCTTGTTGTTTGGCTGCGCTTTTAAGATTTGAACTGACAAGCGATATAAATATCGTGTAAACAATCCATCCAGCCTAGTCCTCCATACCAACCCATTAGTGGTTGTGGTGTTTGAGAAAGAAGACAACAAGCCACTGATATACTGGTTTTTTTCGTCAATGACAATCCTGTGATACTTCATTATGTTGTTTGTTTGTTGCTTAACGCCGTACTCAGCAATAGTTCATCTATATGACTGTAAACAATAGCCTGGGCAAGACAATCCAGTGATTGACATCATGATCATCGATCTACGCAATGGGGATGCGATGACATGCACCCGATTCCGCTTGTCGCCTCTTACGACAAGCATGGGTTACTAAAGACCAATTCTCACCAGGATCTTCACGGGTCTATATTATGTAACTGGGGAGTTGGATCACCATTGGCTGCAGCAAACAGCAAAGACATTGATCCCACAGTTCCCACAATGCGTGCCGCTATTACATGGACAGATGTACATCCGTCCATCTCGAGAAGTTCCAATGACACGCCGCCAAGTGACAATGGTTTCTGTATACTCATTGTATATATTATATATATTATAAATATTAAATTGTAAATTATTTATACCGGTGTATGTTAATGTAAATAATTGAGTAAGGAAATAAATATTTTCCCCAAAAGTGCTTCTATCGGTATTTTGTTCCCGTTCCCATCCTTTACCGTTTCTGGTATGATTTTGCAGCAGGGTGGGGTGGGGGGCGGTTCTTGACAAGGGTACCGTCGTTTTGTACCCAACAACATATTTACATGTATCCAGCACACATCGATTTTGTGTATATGGAGAAAAGGGTGTATATTGTTTGCTTCTTGATCTGGGCCCCGTTCCTCAAAGCGATCTTAGCGCTAAGGTGATCGTAAGTCCCATACTGTAACATAGGTTTACGATCATCGTAGCGCTAAGATCGCTTTAAGGAACGGAGCTCTGGTGTGATTTGCGCTGCTCAAGCAGGACATCTGAGCCCTGTTCCACAAAGGCGCCAAGATGGTCGTAACTCCCATATTTTAACAGGCTTCGTAGCGCTAAGGTGACTTTATGGTACTGGACCATGGAACACAAGGAAACATGGACGGTCCGTAAAAAAATACATATTTTCGCCTCAACTAGGTTAAAAAGTGAAACATTGGGTTCAAACACATGAACTATTGGGTCAGGTGACAGGCATAATAAACCAAACTGCCTGCCCACGTGTTCCTCGCGTCAGGTGAGATGAGGTAAAATGGGTTTTAAGGTCGAGTGCAAGAGTATTGTACTTCTACGTGTTATTAGCCCACTATACAGCATTCCGGAGTTGTAACATAGAACCCAACTCAGACACAATGTAAGGGCTCCGAGCCGGACAGTCTTTTAATGTCTTTTGATATGACGCAACTGGGGATCGAGCCACCGACCTTCCACTGTCTGGACAGACGCTCTTTCCACGAGACCACAGAGGCGGCCCTATTTAGTCAGCTCTCAGGAGCAGGGGATACTGGGAATAGATTCTTCTTGGATAGTCTTTAAGATAACTGCAACATATCTGGCAAAGGAGATGCTGGGTGTTCACAGTAATCCTGGAGAGGGGATAAAAGTCACCATTCATGCCTTTGGCTGGATTAAGGTATCACAGGTAGTCATCATGAGCTCATTCAGCAAGATTACATATACTACTCAAAAGAAGTTACACGACATGTTAACTATAGTAATATGGAAGAATTGGGCGGTCCTTAACTTCTTTTGAATACGAGGGCTGGTCAAACTGTTCTGAGCCCAACAATTGTGAAAGTGTTATATTTCAACATAATCTCCTGCGTTTCAATAAGCTTCTCATATCAATAGTGAAGCTTTTCAATTCCAGTAAGGAAGAAGTTTTCTGAAGCCACCCTGAAAAAACCCATTCATGACAGCTTTTCTCTGAAGTAAAGAACTTGATGGCTGCTCGGTACAGCTCTGTTCCATTTCTGTGTCCATTTGGACCTGTCACCTTCAAGTGGCTGTCACTAATATACAAACGGCCTCAACTGACCAAATACACTTGCAATGAACTACTCAAACAATGTACTATATTGACTTAGTCACCTTGGTTATGGCCCACAGTTGAAAGTTAGTCAGGCTTAGAACATTTTTACCAGCTCTCATATTACAGGTGCACAAGAATGAACAACAACACCCCCCCCCCCGCCCCCCCCCCCAAATGCTCCTTGTTTCTTAAAAATAAAAGAAATAAAACATTTACAGAATTGACTGTGAGATGCCTTTAATACACCTTGAAACAAAGAATGCATACATTTCGACATACTGACATGAAGTAAGCACGGAGTGTATTCATGATTATAAATATGACGGTGTGATGATGTTGACTTATGTACAAGTAACTTGATCCAAGCACTAGATGTTGATCACTCGACTCAGCTTCTGGACTCTGTTCAACAGGATGTCGCCTTGCTTGATGGTTGCCTGAAATGAGTGAGTGAGTGAATGAAATTCATCCAACACATCGCCAGCAATATTACTGACACATCAAAGCCTGTACTTAATCGATTTTTTGGTCTGGAAAACCAGTGTTTGACAGTAAAGGAAATAGGCTGTCCTGTAGACAAAACCTCTTGGCGTGTTAGAAATTAACAAATGTTAAGATATTCGTGAATTTAAATACACACTGATATACTGATTGACCAAGGGATGTAACGGCAGCCTTTTCAATCATGTCAATCAGAAAAGGAAGCGAGTGATTGAGTTGTTTTGTTTACAGTTTACTTTTAACAGTAATCCAGTTATATCACGGCATGTCAGCTTGATGTGGGAGGAAAACCCGAAGTGATGCAGGTCAAAGACAGTTACCACTTTGATGAAACCCACAAGCACAGGTAGTGCTTTCAAACCAAGAAACCTAAGCAAGGCGAACCTGGATTTGCACCTACAATCAAAGGTTCCTGGCAGAGCCCAAGGGAAGCAACTATGCACTGCCATCACAAGCTGATAAACAAGAAGTAACCTTGTTTTGACAAGCAACAGCACAACTTGCTGACATGTCACAAGAAAACCTCAAACCATTTTAATTTGATGTAAGTTTACACTGATGTATAATCCACATACATTGCATGAGGTACAGAGAAGTCACAAATTGTTATGTATGAAGTAAGAGGAATTTCTTACCTGGTACTGCCAGTTTTTACTGTCTGGCCTGTTGGTCTCAACAATCCCTCCTACTTTGTCAATCTTACAGTGAAGACGTCCGGCTGCTATGAAGCGTGCCAACTCCCTGTCAACACAATCACCACAATTACAGACTAGCTGACACAGACATCACTTCATGCAACTAAAAGATTAACTACACCCCTACAAATTAAGAGGAATTTTTATTCAAGAAATACAATGAAGACTTATTTCAAACAGGAATTCTATTCCAAAAGGAGTGTCAATAGGTAGGCAAGATCAGGGCTCATAGATCGTGTTTTCAAAATGTGTGATTACTTTACTCTCTACACAGAACATTCATGTCTTGACAATATACCAGCATTAGAAATTGGCACTAGTCCTGTAGTCCTTGCCAAACTGTCCAATAGTTAAGGTATCATAAGGACTAGAAGAAACTTGCCATTTTTAAGGGTTTTGCTATATGTTATCATTATAAGGACTAGTGGACTAAAAATGTTAGTTTCTACCTCTGTATACATGGTATACATGATATGATCTGATAGATAAACCATATGAAAACCAGAAAGCATAATTTCCCTTCATCCATCAGACTTTACTACTGGCCTCATAACAGATAAATTTTTGTTATGATTTCTTTCCATAACAAGAAAACAGCATTATCACTATCTGCCGCAATGGGGCACATTAGATTTAGAATCTTGTTTGCTCATATAGCAGTGAATATAAACTATAACAAAGAGTTTTGTAAAGCCTTAAGAAGAGATAGGCACTAAGGCCGCTTATGTCATCAGAAAATTAATACACACATAGGGCCCCTTCTCTGTATAAACATAACTCAGTCTTGATAAGTATCTCTAAACCAACTTCAGTAGTTTCTGAGAAAACTTGTCCCCATTGCACGCGCTATGCACTAAGTTACATAATATGGATCAAGGGCCATAATTCTGTAAAAACATAACTTACAGGACCAATTTTCGAAATCAGTCTTGACTGGTATCTCGTAGATAAGTATGCAAACTTTTCATTCAAGTAACTTTGGTAGTTTCTGAGAAAACTTGCCCCCATTTCACACAATATGCACTAAGTTGAAAAGCAAGGAATAAGGGCCATAACTCTGTAAAACAATAATTAACGGTAACAATTTTCAAACTCAGTCTTGACGAGAATCTATCTTATCTTATTAGATAAGCATGCAGTTTCTGAGAAAACTTGTCCCCATATTTACATTGTCTGGTCTCAGACCTAACAGACTAGTGGCTGTGTCTATTTCTGTATGTACTATTATTAGCTTGGCACACCAGACCAAACCAACATTTACATGACTTCTTCGAGGGGAATTTAGAAGTTTTTTGGCGCGTTGAACAAGGCCAAGTTCTTATGGACTAGCAACTTCTTTATTGCAGTTGAGAGGATGTTTCAGTGTAGATTCTAAACACCTGTATGAACATGGTCACATGCTTTATCACCTGCTTGTTAAAGGTGTTAGAATTTACACTGGATTGCTGCCTCAGTTGCATAAAGAATTTGGTAATCCCTAAAAAACTTGTGCTTTATTTAGTAGATTTGGGCTTCAGAACTGAAATTGCAGACCGCTATACACTTCATGACCACGATGACAAGACTATATATCCAAACATGTGTACCTGTCCATGAAGTCTACTGTGACCCCGAAAGCATCAGCCATGTAGTCTAGAGTGAGACTGCGGTACGACTCAAGGAGCTGAGCATAGGCCATGATCCTCATCTCTCTCACGTAGTAGCGGAAGTGGGGACACAGGTACCGGTCACTCTTCATGATTTCTTCAACAGCAGCTGAAAATATCCAAATACATTGTTATTATGGCCTGATGTTTTGAGAAAGGGTGAGTGAGAGAGTGTGAGTGAGTG